TCCGCTACGAGGGGCAAGGCTTTGCCAGCCGAAATGCTCGACATTAATGTGGGGGCAATGAAGAACATGAACGCCCGGACGGCCAAGTACGCCAAGTGGTACGTGAGGGTCCTGGACCCGGAGGTCATTGATTTTACGTTCACTGCGAGGAGCGAAAAAGTGCAGGCGCAGAAGTTCAGTTGCGTTTTGGTGTCCAACGCGCCCGCGCAGTACATGCTCGGCACGGTGCCATTCAGTTTCGAGAATCGGAACGCGGCAGTCGAAACGTTCGGGAAATTCACGGTGGACTCCGCGCGGGAGCTCCGGACCCCGAGCTTCGACGCCAGAGCCAAGTCGGACTTCATCGGCGGCCCGCTGAAGTCGGCGGTCTTGCTTCGCCGCCCGTCGACGCTGACCCGAGTCCCTCCCGCCAGCACGGAAGCGTTGGCGCATCCCGCTAAGGGGCTGCAGATCGCATTGGACATCAAGGGCATCGTGGACCTTCTCAAAGAGAACGCTACTGGTGCAAACCAAAAGGCGGCTTTCGACTGCTGCGGCGAGTTCCTCGGCGTCGGCACTTCCAGGCAAGTCTCTAAGAACGGCAACCTCGGGTCCGCAGGCAAGTCCTTCGGCAGGCTCGCGGTTTGCAGGCGCCCCAGGGGCGCCTCCAGACCGCGAGACGGCACGGGCAGATCGGCGGAACTCTCAGGGCGACAACCCCCAGCCAGTGGATGAGATCTCCTGGCACCCGCAGTACTTGGTCTGGGGGCTCCAGTGGTTGCTCGACCACGTGGCGGAGGGCGGCCCCGCGTCGGAGCTAAACAGGTGCTGCGTGGAGCTAGACGACATCCTCAGCGGCGGCGGGCGGCGGTGCAAGCGACTCGGCCGCTACGCGTTGCCGCCGCCAGCGCCGAGGCCAGCTCCGGTTCCTACACCAGCACCTGCGCCCGCACTGCCGGCGCCTACACCAGCAGTTGGACCGGTCTCCAGAGCGCCAGGCTTTGCCAGCGCCCGCCGAGCCACGACCACCACAAGCACTACCGCATGAAGATCCCCTGGTCGTCGTTATCAGTGGCCGGGCCGGCCGGGCTGCGGAATCCTCTCCATCAGTTCTTGAGTTCAGCTCGCCGTTGACAGTGAGCGGGCCGGCCGTGCTCCCGATTTTGCGCAAGGGGTCTTCGTGTCGACCGGCACGGTCGGAAAGAAGGAGAAAGGGAGAGAGCGGCGTGCGTGTCGAGCGGCATGTGTGTCGAGCGGCATGGTGGGATCGTGTGTGAGATCGACAGTGATATCGACAGTGAGATCGATCGAGTGAGATCGAAAGGGGGATCGGCAAGGAAACCGAAAGTGTTATCGATAGTGAGATCGATTGTGAAATCGATGGTGAGATCGACAGTGGGACCGGCCGAGTGACATCGATGATGAGATCGATTTTGAAATCGATAATGAGATTGATCGAGTGAGATCGATTGAGTGAGACCGATAGTGCAAGAGGGGGCACGGGCTGCGCCAGCCTTTGCCAGCGCTCCAGTATGACGTGACCACATGCCGCCGTTGGCTGCCGTTGGGCAGGTTGCAGGGGGAGGGACGAATGCTACCAAGGCGCCCAATAACGAAGGGTGATGTAAACAACTCGACACCGACGCTCCCAAGAGCGAGCGGCAACGCAACACTCTCCATTGGCATCGTCACAACAACAATCACCACTGTTGACCATTGCTGGAACCCTCCCCCCCAAACCTCCTTATCACCCGCAGGGTGGTCGTATAGGTGTATTGCGAGGAAGACCCACGCGAGACCGCGATTGCTGCATACATTGAAAAGAAGTTCCGCGTGAGAGCACGATTTGAAAGTAAACTTGTGAGGGAATATCGGGGGGGAGCCGTTGCTGTTGTACTCATTGGGTCAGGGGCGCAGATTGAGGAGGAAGATTTCCAAGAGAGGCACTTCAAATGAAACAAACATAGATGTTACCGGAGGTGTGATCAAAAATAGATGTCATTTCGAAGTGAAGGTTCCCAAACAACAGCAAGTCAACAGCATCAACACAATCAACAACAACCACAACAACCACAACAACACAAACAACACCACCACCACCACCAACAACAAAAGTTTAAAAAATGAAAACACTACTGACAAAAACAGCAACATCAACAACAACCACAACAACAGCGGCAAAAACAACCACACCAACACCAACACCAACACCACGAACTATAACAACAAGCATGCAACGCTACGGCTGCGCCCGCCACAGCATTATACAGCCACTTCCTGGACGGTCCCGATATGGCTCTTCCGAGTCCGTTCGAGGACGGCGGTGCAAACACCATGCACGAATTCGAGGCTGCGCAGGCATGGTGGCGGGGTCTGCCGCAGGGACGCTGGATAATTCAGCGAAATGCAACTCCAAAGAACGAATCGAGACCAAGCGGAAGGCAATGAAGATGATCAGGACCGGTGTCAACCAGGACGGGGGCGAGATGATAGTGCTGGCTTGAAAAAGAGACGTGTTTCAAAGGCCTTCTGCTTGACCAGCGGCACATCCATGGCGAGCACTTTGTGGACCTGAGCGGGGGATGGAAATGGCGACAAAAACCAGGAGCGTTGTAGGTATTCGTTGTCTCCCGTCTCCTCACATTGCCTCTGTGCAGAGCCTAACTGTCTGAACGACTGTATTGTTGTTGCACGGACTGTCGCGCGTGGTCCGAGACCAGCCAGTGTGCAAGGTGAACTCGGCACCTGTGGCCACGATGAGTGGGTCTGTCTTGCGGCCCCAAACTCGAGCTCAAGCGCCAGCCTTCAGGCCTCCCCGCCTCAACCCCAAGCAAGAGGGCCCTCAGTTGTAGGGATGAGTGGGATGAGCCCACGGGCCACGATGCCATACGAATGGCAAGCACCGCGCTAGTGGTGGCGAAGGTGTATGCCCTATGGAGAACTCGGTGCGGGATACGGCGTCTCGTGCCACAGCCCGGGTCGGGCATGTCGGGCATGTCTTCCTACGGGCAGACTGTGGAAGAAAAATCAAAAATAGACAACACATGCAAGAACAGATGCACGAGTAGTCGAAAAATCGTCCGACTATTTGCTCTACCATTCTGAAACATTCCTTCTGCAGAGGGACGCGCACGATTTCACGTTGCCTGGATCTCCCCGCGCGGCACTCGCTCAGATCTGCGCGGGACTCTCCCGCCCGGCCCAGCGCCCACTCTCAGCCAGGGGGACCTGCCGATGCCACCCCGCCGCGACGACACCAAGATGGCCGCCGGATCCCCCCCCCGTGCCCGCATCCCTCGCCCTCTGCGTACCACTCCTCCTCCACATCTCCCCTCTCCCCAGCGATCCAGCGTATTGAACAAATGAAGACGGAGTTTTTACTTAACAGCGAAGACTGATAGGTGTCTAGTAGGGTCAAAAGAAAGAAGAGCATCATGACGCCCCAAGGGGGTCTGGGCGCGATCCGGGGGAGGGTGCCGGGGATATTCTTTTAGCCAACAGTTACACACTTCGTGGTCTTCGAGGTCCCAGAACTCCATTCCCGGGCCACATTCTGAATGCCCGGAGCCAACTGTAGGCCAATTCGTGCTCTTCGAGTTCCCAGAACTCCATTCCCGGGCCACATTTTGAATGCCCGGAGCCAACTGTAGGCCACTTCGTGCTCTTCGAGTTCCCAGAACTCCATTCCCGGGCCACATTTTGAATGCCCGGAGCCAACTGTAGGCCACTTCGTGCTCTTCGAGTTCCCAGAACTGCATTCCCGGGCCGCATTTTCAATGCCCGGAGCCAACTGTAGGAGGAGCAGGGGCAAGAGCACGAGGAGGACGAGCAAGACGAGGAGGACGAGGACGAGCACGAGGAGGAGGAGGAGGAGCAGGAGAAGGAGGACGAGCAGGAGGAGGAGGAGGAGGACGAGGACTCCTACATGCGAGGACGAGCAGGAGGACGAGCGACTGCGAGGACACCAGAATTCTACACCAGGACTCCTACATGAATCTCAAGGGCAATGCTTCCAGATATGCTTCTACACATCGCTGTTAGGTTGTTTTGCCGGGATCTTTTTTTGCCGTTTTCGGCCTCTAGAGGCCCTCGCCAGGCCTCGGGACCGTCAAACAACGACTCAGGACGAAGAGCCGGTCCTGGGGAATGGGTCGAGACTTCCGGGGAACCCGTATTGAAAACATCACGACATTGGATCTCTGGGTCCCTGCTACCCTCCTCTTCCCTCCCCCCCACCCTCCTGCCGGCCTCCCCCCTCTGCCGCTCTTCTCGTTGCCTTCTCCCTCCTGGCCTTGCCCCGCCCCTCCCACATCCCCATCCACTCCCCTCCATGCTTTCGGTGACGCTCGCATGACGGAAAAGGCCGTATCGGGTTATGGCTACGGCGCGTTGCAGACGCGTCTGTCCGAAGTGCCAAGGGGCACCGAACTAGGGAAACCAACAGGTACCGATACCGATTCTCCCTGGACCTCTCCCGGGGTGCGTTCTGACCAAGATCTCGAGGCGAATCCAGCGGTGGTGACGAAGGCCTCCCAGGAGGCTCCAAGAAGGGGAAAACCAGGGAAGGGTAGCGGTATGAGTACAGCAGGTTCGTGTCGTGTCGACCCCAGCGGTTGTTCCTGACACCGCGGGGGTCGCCGCTGGTCAGCACGACGCGAACCTACCGTACAGTCAACCCGTATGATAAGGACCCACGGTAAGGAGGCAAGGGCCTTGGAGGGCCGTGTTACTTGGCGTTTCCCGAACAAAGTTGGCCCGCGCAAGACGCCAAGGATGGGCCGACGGGGAAGGATGCAAGGGTAACCTTGGAATGCTGCCCGTCCTTCGTGGGCTTGTTTCCCACCGCCGCCACCATAAGCAGGAGGGGGAGGGTGTCCTCCTCCTCCGCCTCCTCCTCCTCCTGCACCCCCTCCCCCCCCTCCAGCTTATGATTCCGATGATGGCGGTGGAAGCCCAACCCATCAATCCTTGTCTGCGGGCTGCCTGTACATGTGTCCTCCTCTGGCAGGCGGCCCGCGAGCCTGGCCGTGCTCGGTGACGGCGAACAGGGCGTCGAACTCGTGGCAGGCGAAGGCGCCACCTCGCCAGCGGGCGCAGCGCGGGGCGAGCCGGGCGGGGGAGAGGAGGAGGAGGAGGAGGAGGGAGGAGGAGGAGGAGGAGGAGGAGGAGGAGGAGGAGGAGGAGGAGGAGGAGGAGGAGGAGGAGGGGAGGAGGAGGAGGGGGAGGAGGAGGAAGGGGGAGGAGGAGGAGGAGCAGGAGGAAGAGGAGGAGGAGGGGGAGGGGGCGGGCGGGCGCCGCGGAGCTCGCCATCGCTCGGACGTCCATGCCCCGTGCGTGCTTCGACGTCGTGCGTTCTCGGCGGCAACTCATGCGAGCCTCCCACACCGTCTGGTCGTCTCTTGCAAATCGACGCCGTGGACGCTGGTCGACGCTCATCGACACCAGATCGACGCCGATCGACGGCAATTGATGCTAAATCGGCGCTATCACATCGACTCCCGGACGCTTATCGACGGTAAATACAACACTGAGAGAGTACATCAGGCTCCCACGATTTGCTACCAGTGCGTTTATTATGTTCCGTGGGGTGCCCAGCCGAGAGGGCCCTCGCCGAGAGGGCAGGAGGAGCCCAGCTGTCGGGGAGGAGGGTATCTGTCGGGGGGGGCGACAGCCGGTGTGTCAACATACTTACCGATGTTTGAATCACGAGGAGGAGGAGGAGGAGGAGGAGGAGGAGGAGAAGGAGGGGGAGGAGGGAGGGCAGGAAGGCCGGGGCAGAGAGTCGACACACGTGGCCGGCTTTTCTGGCTCCTCTTGGCCCCGGGAGGCGCCCACGATGCATCGAGGAATGGGCCCGGCGGCGGGGCCGAAGCCAGCAACGTGCAGCAGATTTCGTACCCCCCCCTTCCCTACCCCCCCCTTCGTCAGAACCGAATCTTGGCCCGGTGGAGCAAGGCTGCTTCTCAGGGGGGTGGAGGAGGCGGGCAGGGAAGCGAGGAACTGATCTCAAACCGCGGGGGGGGCAGGGGAGGATGGGCTTGGCTGCGCAAGCGCTCCCTTTTGGGAAGGGGGGGCAGTTCCCCAGGAGGACGCAGGGAGGGCGAGGGGCCAAAGAGATCGTTTCCGACATGGGTTAATTCGGGTCAGAGCAGACACGGTGGAGGAAGTGGGGGAGGAGGGAGGGAGGGACGGAGGGAGGGAGGGGGGAGGGAAAGGAGGAGGAGGAGGAAGAGGAGGAATAATAATAATAAAAATAATCATAACAGTACTTACAATAAGAATACGAATGACGATACTACTACTACTACTACTACTACTACTACTACGACTACTACTACTACTACTACTACTACTACTACTACTACTACGACTACGACTACTACTACTACTACTACTACTACGACGACGACGACGACGACGACGACGACGACGACGACGACGACGACGACGACGACGACGACGACGACGACGACGACGACGACGACTACTACGACGACGACGACGACGACGACTACTACTACTACTACTACTACGACTAGTAATGCTAGGAAATAATAATATGAATAGGAATAATCATGGGAATCCCACTAATAAAACTAATAGTAACACTCGTAATACGAATAGCAATAATAATGATGATGCCAGCGCAACTAATGCTACTGATACTAATAATAATAATAACGCGGCATAGAGGCGCGCCGTGCCTCTCGCTTCCGGGCAGGCCTGCGCAGGCCCTCGACAAACTTTGAAACGTCCGCGCTCTCGAAGTGCGTACGGAACGGAGCAGCGGACAACCTCGGCGATTCTGCGCGGCTGCCAGTCGAAGCTGGGCTACACCAGGAGAACAAGCAAGAGGGCACAGACAGGCCCCAGCAGGCATATCGCAGGCCCTGGGGAACCATCGCACCGACAAGTCAGGGCACGGCGCACTACACGGAATATTACCAGGAGGAGGAGGAGGAGGAGGAGGAAGGGGAGGAGAGCGGCGGAGGGGCCAGAGAGGGGCGAGGAGGATTGCGCTGGGCGCAGGCACGGGCGCCACTGGCGCCGGCAGGGGCCGCAGGCTTCTCGCCAGGGGTGGTAGGGGGGCTGCCAGGAGGCAGTATCCACTCCGCCTGTTGCTGCTGCTGCTGCTGCTGCTGCTGCTGCTGCTGCTGCTGTGTTTGTTATCCTTTTGCTCCGCTTCCTCCTGCGGCGGCTATTCTTTGTCGTCCTTCCTGCTTCTCCTCGTCCTCGTCCTCCTCCTCCTCCTCCTCCTCCTCTTCTTCGTCGTCCTCCTCCTCCTCCTCCTCCTCCTCCCGTTTCTCTCCTCCCTGACACCCACGAGGGGGTGGGGGGGCTCCACACCAAGAAAGGAATGTCGAACCTCCAGGCGCCTGGCGGGAGGTATGCCTTGAGCCCAAAGCCTGGAAGCGGAGACCCACCCATCGTTTACGCATCTCCATGCAACCAATCCAATATTGGCTTCTACTGCCAGTGACCCCGACGTGCGGGCGAAATGCCAATGGAAGAATGCGAAACACGTCCAGCACCGTGCCGCCAGGAAGCTGGGGGAGGATGGAGGACGGCAGAGGAGGCAGAGAGTAGGGGGGGAGGCTAAGGAGGGAGGGGGGGCAGTGAGAGGAGCGGCATGTAAAATTAGCCAGGCGAAGAGCCAACCCATATGCAATTGTGAGTGCCGCGATTGCGAACATCGTTTTCGGTGGCGCTCCCCGTCCGCCAGAATGTGTGGCGGGGTACACAACACCGCCACTGAGGCCTTCGGTGGAACTCCCTGTCGAGGCACGAAGCGGTGTACTGGGCGGGGGAAACGCCTGCGAACACCGCCACAGGGTCCATCGGTGGAGCTCCCTATGGGCCCACGAAACGCTGTACGGGGCGGGGGGAACGCATGCGAACACCGCCACTGAGGCCTTCGGTGAAGTTCCCTATGGGGCTGCGAAAAGCTGTGCTGGGCGGGGGACACGCATGCGTACACCGCCACTCGGACCATCGGGGGGAGCTCCCTATGGGGCCACGAATCGCTGTACTGGGTGGGAGAAACGCATGCAAACACCGCCACTTAGGCCTTCCGTGGAGCACCCTATGGGGCCACGAAAAGCTGCACTGTGCGGGGGAAACGTAGGCAAACAGCGTCACTGAGGCCTTCGGTGGAGCTCCCCATGGGGCCACGAAGCGCTGTGCTAGGTATAGGAAGCGCATGCAAACAACGCCACTCGGATCATCGGTGGAGCTCCCCATGGGGCCACGGAACGAGCGAGGGCTGTGCCCCAATAGGGGGAGGGCGGCATGCGGACCATGCCACTGGAGCCGTCGGTGGAGCTCCCCGTGGGGCCACGAAACGTGTGAGGGGCGTGCCACAATTCGGGAGCGGCCAAGAGGGGGGGGGTGTCCAAGAGGGGGGGGTGCAAATCATGATCGGCGGCATGTGCGCGGCCCAGCGGGGGGGCCAGGGACCTAATGAAATAAGAATAGGCGCCATGAAATCTGGGGATATCATGGCCCACGCCATGATATCCCCCCCCAAGTCATCACCCCCCTCTTTTCCGCCCCCGAAAAATAAAAGCCGGGGAAGTCTGGGGAAGTCCTGGGGAAGTCCCGGGTCAGATGCGACTCCCCCCCGGGGGGGTTCGGGGGCCCAGAAAAGCCCCAAGACGCGGCAAAAGTGCCCCAAGATTCACGCCAAGACGGTCCTCCAGGGCCCCGAATCGCCGAAGTATCGGTCCAAGTCGCCAAAGTAGCCTCCAGACGGCTCAAAAGGTTTTCCAAAACGTTCAAAGAGGCCTCCCAGAGGACTTCAAAAAGGGCACCAAGGAACAAAAATCATCGATTTCCGTTAGCTTCTTGAAAGATTTCGGCGTTCTCGCCTTGTCAGCTTCCCGACGCTCCAAGACAGGCCAAGAGGCCCCCAAAAGACTGCCCCAAGATGGCCCAAGAGGGGTCCAAAAGAGCCCCAAAACGACCCAAGAGGGCCCCAAGACCGTCCAAGAGGCCTCCAAGACAATCGAAGAGGCTCCCAAGACGGTTGTAAGAGAGAGCCTAGACGGGGGACCCGAACGGACATTTCGAGCCCTCGGCTTGAGAAGCTCTCAGGAGACCCCCAGAGGCCTCTAAGAAGCCCCCCAAGAAGCCCCAAGAGGCCCCCAAGAGACCCCCAGGAAGCCCCAAGAGGCCCCCACGAGACTCCCAAGCGGCCCCCAAGAGCTTCCCAAGAGGCCCCCAGGAGGCCCTCGAGAGCTTCGTCGTTGCGGTCGTGATTGTCGCCGCCATGCAGGGTCGGCGGCACAGGCCGTAAGGCCTTCGCAATAGAAGAGGGGCGACATGCGAACCGTTCCACTGGGCCCTGCGGTGGAGCTCCCTGTGTGGCCACGAATCGTGTGAAGGGTATGCCAAAGTGGAGGGGCGGCGGCATGCGAACTATGCCACCCGAACCTTCGGTGGAGCTCCCTATGGGGCTACGCAACGTGCGAGGGGTGGACGGGGGGGCAGCATGCGAATCATGCCACGTGGGCTTCAGTGGAGCTCCCTGCGGGGTCGCGAAACGAGTGATGGGTGTGCTTGGACGGGGGGCGGCATGCGAACGAGCTCCCTATGGGGCCACGAAACGAGTGAGGGGTGTGTCACAATAGAGGGGGGGCGGCATGCGAACCATGCCACTGGGGCCTGCGGTGGAGCTCCGTGGGGCCACGAAACGTGTGAGGGGTGTGGCAACGTGGAGAGGGGGCGGCGTGCGAACCATGCCGCTAGGGCATCTGGTGGAGCTCCCTATGGGGCCACGAAGCGTTTGAGGGGTGTGCCACAATAGCGGGGAGGGGGCGGCATGCGAACCATGCCTCTGGGGCCTGCGGTGAAACTCCCCATGGGGCCACGAAGCGTGTGAGGGGTGTGCCAAAGCGAGGGGGGCGACGGGGGTGCCGCACTGGTTGACATGCGGAGGGCAGGCTTGCTGCGTCTAGCCGTGGCAACGAAGGGGCCGACTACCGTTGTCACAGCTCGCTCTCATCTGAGTTCCCCATGCCCCTCCCCCTGACCGACGCCCCCCTCATCCCCAGCGTGGCTTCCGGGTCATACCTCGGGTCTTTGGCGGCTGGTTGGGACGATCTGGGCACCCCCAGAACGCCCTCGGCGAGGCGCAACTGCTGGAAATAGCGCCACGAAGCTGAAAAGCTACCGCGAACCGACGAGAACGCCCGAAAACCTCGAACCTCGACAACTCGCTCCTCCTCTGGCAGATAGGAGTGAGCGGAGGAAACGGGAGGAGCAGGACCGGGGGCGTCCAAAAAGGGGGTTCGCACATCGTGGCCCGAGGTCTGTGCGCGGCCAAGGGGGGCCAATCGACGCATTGAGATAAGAGGAAAGGCGATGCCATCTGGGGAGACGTCATGGCCCCGGTCATGATACCGACCCCCCTAACCATGAACTCGCTCTGTCGAATGCGGAATCGACTCCAAAGTTGATGTGCCCCAAAGTCGAATGTACGAAACATGCGTAGAACGGTTGTCGAAGCTACAGAAATTGCACAAGTTGTTCCGCAGACTCGACGAACAAACAATCTCGGGGTACATCAATCCTGTAGTCGATCTCCTACTCGACTCGCGGCCGCCCCGGCGAGTGTCAAGCCCTGGGCGAGCGCTTGGGATGCCCGGTGCCACTGATGGCAGCCCCCTCGTCCTCGTCGGCGTCCTCGCCCTCGGCCTCCGCCGCCTCGCGGGCGCTGGCGAGGACCCCCCCGCGGGGGTGCTGCTGCTGCTCCTCTTCGCCCTCATCGTTCCCTTCCTATCCCTCATCTCTCCCCCTCCTCCCTCTTTCCTCCTCCTTCCTCCGTCGTCCCTCCCTCCTCACTCCTCCTCCGCCTTCTTCCTCTCGCCTCCGTCCTCTCTCCTCCCCTCTCCTCCCTCCTCACGCCAGCCCCCTCCCCCTCGCTCCTCCTCCCTCCTCCTGCTCTCCTCGGTCCACCCTCCCCCCTGCCCCGACGACGACGCCGGTGCCCCCGGGCGACTCGACGACGACGGTGCCGATGCCTCGACGACGCCGACGGCGCTGGCGTCTCGGACGGCGGCGGCGATGCCGACTGCGGCGGCGACGCCGGCGGCGGCGGCGGGCTCCACGAGGCGGGCGGCGGCCTCCTCGCCCTGCGGGGCCCCGCCGCCCTGCGCGTCCGCGGGGGCGTCGGCCTCTCCGCGGGGGGGGGCCCGGCGTCAGGGGGGGGGGACGGTGCTGCTGCTGCTGCTGTTGATGCTGGGGGTGAGGCTGGGGGTGAGGATGGCGCCGACGACGATGGTGACGGTGGTGGTGTGATATGATGGTGGTGATGATGCCGGCGGTGATGATGGTGGCCGTGAGGATGACGGGAGTCGTGACGATGGGGTTGATGATGGTGGTGGTAAAGAAGGCAAGAATGACGATGATGACGACGATGATGATTATGATGATGAGGCTGGTGATGAGGAGGAGGAGGCGGAGGAGGAGGGTGGCGATGATGATGATGGTGATGATGACGATGACGAGGAGGAGGAGGATGTCGTTGACGACGATGATGATCACGACGACGAGGATGATGATGCTGCTGATGATGACGACGACGCGAATGATGTTGACAACGACGACGACGAGAACGACGATGATGAGGATGATGATGATGACGATGATGATGCTGATGATGCTGCTGATGATGATGACCATGATGATGATGATGATGGTGGTGGTGATGGTGATGATGATGATGATGATGCTGATGATGATGATGATGACGATGGTGGTGATGCTGATGATTCTGATGATGATGATGACAATGATGATGCTGCTCTGATGATGATGATGTTGATGATGATGCTGCTGATGCTGATGATGATGACGATGCTGATGATGATGATGCTGAAGATGATGATGCTGCTGCTGACGACGACTTCGACGACGAGGATGATGCTGCTGCTGATGATGATGACCATGATGATGATGATGATGATGATGATGATGATGATGATGGTGGTGATGCTGATGATGCTGATGATGACAATGACAATGGTGATGCTGATGATGCTGGAGATGATGATGATGATGATGATGATGATGATGATGATGATGATGATGATGATGATGTTGATGGTGTTGATGCTGCGGATGCTGATGATGATGGTGATGCTGATGATGATGATGCTGATGATGATGCTGCTGACGAAGACTACGACGACGACGACGACGACGACGACGACGAGGAGGAGGAGGAGGAGGAGGAGGAGGAGGATGATGATGATGATGATGATGGTGATGATGATGATGGTGATGATGATGATGATGATGATGATGATGATGATGATGATGATGATGATGATGATGGTGATGGTCATCGTGGTGGTGATGGTGGTCGTGGCGGCTCGCCGCCATGCGCGCGTCCGCGGGGGGGTCTTCCTCTGCGGGGTCCCGGCCTTGGGGGGGAAGAGGCGGAGGAGGAGGAGGAGGAAGAGGAGCGAGAAGCGAGGAGGAGGAGGACGAAAAGGAGGAAGAGGAGGGAGGAGCGAGAACGAGGGGGCTGGAGGGAGGAGGAATGAGAGAGGAGAGAGGATGAAGGCGAGAGGAAGAAGACAGAGGAGGAGTGAGGATGAAGAAGACGGAGGAGGAGGAGGAGGAGGAGGAGGAGGAGGAGGACGTGGCCTGGCTTGTGTGCTCTCGCTATTGCTCGTACTTATGTGCAGTAGGACCCCCCTAACCCTTTGCTAGGGGATCGAAGTTAGGAGGGTCGAACACATCAAGGATAGGGGGTCTGCTCTGCAGATGAATCGCATCAAACCGCCCAGATGTATTATCATCCCTACCGCAAAGGCGGGGACCTCAGTGAGGCTACGTCTTGATCGTGCTATTCGGATTAGGGGTTCTTCTATCCTCGATGACGTAACGGTCCTTCCCGGGGGGTGGGAGTATGGCCCTGGGTAACGACAGCGCTTGGACGGGTGGGTCACGCTAGGGCGGGGGGTGCGCTGCGATCGCCGCAGTATGCGCGCGAGCACCAGCATAAGGAGCGCAAATCCAGCCCTCCCTCCCCCATCCGCCCCCCACCGCGTACCATCGTTACTGCTACCCTTTGCGGGGGGGGAGTGGTGTGCCCGCGAACCTGGCAGACTCTTTAGGAGAAGGAACTGCGTGAACATAAACTGTTGGCGCTCCGCGCGGATTTCTTGGATCTGCGCTGGACCCCCCTCCTTAGCGCGCGGAGCGCGCCAGGGGCGGCGCCGGAGGCGCCGCTGGGGGTGCCCGCCCCGCTCTGGACCAGCATCGAATCGCTCATCCAGATCGAATCGTAATCCAACCGTGGCGGGAAGCCTCTCGCTTCGAACCCGCAACACTAGCGATTCGACTCGCCAAAGCGGACCGAACCCGATCGAATCGCGCGCGGACCTGTCAGCGGGCTGGCGTCAGCAGAGGAAGCAACCGCTCTTGCCGCGAAAGAGGGGGAGATGGCAAGGGAGGGGACAGCGCCTGGCGCTCACCTGGAGGAATGCAGATCAGCATGGATGAAGGGGCCCAGGGACACACACACACACACAGATACACACAAATAATAGGATTCCCCCTATTTCCCCTGATCTTCTGGGCTTTTGTCGTCCCCCCTCCACTTCCCATAGTTTCCCATCTTTTCTGGGGAGTCGACGATGAACTGTGCCTGTGTGAATTGTCTGGGTTTTTGTCTCCCCCCCCATTCCCATAGTTTCCCATCTTTTCTGGGGAGTCGACGATGAATTGTGCCTGGGTGAATTGTCTGGGTTTTTGTCTCCCCCCCCCATTCCCATGGTTCCCATCTTTTCTGGGGAGTCGACGATGAATTGTGCCTGGGTGAATTGTCTGGGTTTTTGTCTCCCCCCCCCATTCCCATGGTTCCCATATTTTCTGGGGAGTCGACGATGAATTGTGCCTGTGTGAATTGTCTGGGTTTTTGTCTCCCCCCCCATTCCCATACTTCCCCGTATTTTCTGGGGAGTCGACGATGCATCGTGCCTGCGCTTGTTTCTGTCCCCTCCTGGCTGGATAGCCGCGCTTCCGCACTGTCCGCGGGAGGTGCCTTGCATGGGCGCCGGACCCTTCTCCCTGGGCGCGCCGCGGAGCGCGCCCCAGGGGTGCGGCCAGTCCATACGTAGGACTGGAGACGACATGCTCGCTTTCGGGGGGGAGCAAAAGCAGGAGCAAGCGGAAGCACTTCCCCCTCCTCCTCCTCCTCCTCCTCCTCCTCCTCCTCCTCCTCCTCCTCCTCCTCCTCCTCCTCCCCATAAGACTGGAGACGAACTTCTCGCATTGTGGGAGAAAAAGCAGTAGCAAGCGGAAGCTTGTGTTGCTCCCGTCGTACTTAAGGACCACATCCCAGAAATTCGCCGGCCCAACGGGCCAGGGCGTGCTAAGATCTCCGGTACCTGGTTAACAGTATTTCTAGTTCGCGCGCGCGGGGCGGCCCCTGGGGGTCCCCGGACGAAAAGTACCCCGGCAAGGTCCTGGCAAGGTCCCGGCAAGGTCGGGGCAGAGATGCCGGAGCCCTGTTACAGGGCCCCAGGACGGGCCAAGAGGTCCCCAAGAAGCCTCCAAGACGGTCCAAGAGGGCCCCGAGACGGCCAAAGATCGCCCGAAGACGCCCAACAGGGCCCCAAGACAGCCCAAGAGGCCTCCAAGACGCCCCAAGGGCCTTCCAAGAGGCCTCCGAAGAGGGCCCCAAGAGGCCAAAATCGTTGATTTTCATTGTTTTTTCTATGTTTTTTGCGTTCTGGCTTTTTCGGCTTCCGGACGCTCCAAGACGGCCCAAGAGGCCCCCAAGACCGCTCCAAGACGGCCCACGAGGCTCCCAAGACGGCCCCGGAACGGCCCAGGAGGGCCCCCAAGACGGCCCAAGTGCCGCCCAAGACGGACCAAGAGGCCCCAAGACGGGCCCAAGAGGGGCTCAAGAGGGGAACCGAGAACTGAAAAATCGAGCCCTCCGCCTCAGAAGGCGCCCAGGAGGCCCCAAAAAGGCCCCAAGAGGCCCCCAAGAGGCCCCCAAGACGC